TTTTTTAAATATTTTTTTGGTAAATTATCGTTTATTCTTCTTGTTTTATTGCAGAGCTCGTTTTACACGCGCTGTCGCCGAACTCCAATTCCTGGGTTATATAAAAATGTCCAAACGCAAAACGGATCATGCTACGCGATTGACATGGTAGTCAATCATGCTATTATTTATTGTTGTATTTTGGGTTAGAAATAAGTTTGAAATATAAAATACTTTTTTATGAATGTACACATTTTATTTTTATTTTTGAGATTTCCATTAGCGAAACGTGATTAACCCCGCCCACAGTTTCTTCAGCTCAAAATGAAGGACGGTGTTTTTATAGTATTTACTGATATAAATGTTATTGACCTTGTTGTTTTACTGGAAGAACATATAAACTAAATAATTTTTAGGAATTATACAGTGTTAATAACTATCGGCGGCATAAAAATCCTGGTCCCTTCCTGTTATGTAGAACCACTAGCGTGAATTGATATATCCTCGAGAATGGTTACTGGTAATTTATCCAAGACATATGTATGTGCCAATTTTTCATTCACTCCAAACTCGTACAAGGCGATTTCCTTCCGTATTATTTCCATTATATTATTATAGAACAACGTGAAATCCTGCTAACGCTTTCAGCTCACTTAAAGTCACTTAACCCAGAAAGAAGGGTTTTCTAATACTAAAGTACCCTTGAATCTTAAATCTATGCTCCTAACCTGAAAAAAATCCACTGGTCCCGGATTGGACTCCAGCATGGATGAGGCGAATATCATTGCTTCAAGGAAAAAAAATTTAATTTACTACTTACCGACCCAAACGAGCTGAGATCGCCGATCAATTCCGTTAACGTAGAATCGGCTGTTTGTCGAAAATGTTCCTCATAACCTTAATGTCACTAGACTAAACCTTTGTAATAGCTAAAACAACAAAAATACAGTAAAAAAAAACATAATCAGCTTACAATGAAATCCAGTCTTGAAGCACTCAGCTGTTTAACAACCGCCACTTTGAAGACTCACACCGTGTAAAACACAATAATTAACAACCACTATTTTAAACTTTTCACACTTTCTTTGCAGTTTTATTAATAATTTAGTTATTTTCATATATTTATCATTACAATATACACAAATCTATTTTCATTGTGCTTTGTGTGTATGTATGTATGTATGTACGGTATAACATTTACACTTTTTATTTACAGTGCTTGCTTGTATACTTATGTAGTATGTATTTATGTACTTTTATATATATAAATAAATTATTAAATGTATATATGTAATATACGCCAGTTATTTTATATAATATATACTTAAATAACTAGGCGAAATTTTGTTTATTTATTTCAAGTTTTGGCTTTCAACTAACCTCAATCTTTTCAATAATGCACTTTTGTTTAGTATTCTACAAATATTTTGATGAAATCAAGGCAAGTTCTGCGTTGTATGTAAACAATAAGTCTTTCATTGTACATTTACTTGCTAATAGTTTTATGCTTTTATTATTTTCTTCTATGTATTCAAGTATATATTTCTGCATATATGACTCAATATTATTGAATAAGTAAAGCACATTGTAGTAGTTACATTTCAATTGTTTTTAAGATTTTTTTCTTAGTACAAGTTTATGTGATTTTAGTTTTAACGTAATTTTGTATTTAAACTGATTTGATGGGCTTTTTGAAGTTCCACAGCGCAACTGAAGTAAAAAAATAACCTAAAAATTTTGGAAACATTTTTTGAAAAGTGCGTTTGTTACCGATTACTAATGAAATTAATTTAGATAATGAAAAAATTTGGTAAATAATAAGGAAAATATGCATATAACTCTCAATTTTCCTCCGTTTTTTTTCAAGTAAATAAAAATAACGTAAAATTTTGCAATTCTTTTTCTGCTATTTTTTTTGAATTTTAATTTTTAAGATATAAATTTCAGTTTACATGGCAATTGAGCGCTCGGCTTTTTTTCCAAAACAATAATTCAGAAATATAGAATAAAAAATA